TTACGATGTCGCTGTAAGTCAAAGCTGTATCGACATGTTAACTAACAGTTCACTTTAAAACCCTCACTTTTGCTCAAACTCCTTTGTGTTCTCATCAAATGGGTAAAATATAACCTTGCAGTCAAGAGCACAAGAAACAAGATATCTGCGTGTTTGGTCAACAAACGGCAAAAATTTCACTCGTGCAACCACGGCCGTATGATGGTAAAAAACTTGCAACGTTTCTCCGGTAGAAAGAGACCAGACCCTTAAGAACACAAATTTTTGAGCTCAGAACACTATAAACTCAGATTATGAAAAAATAAGATGGCTGTAACCGTATAGACTTGTCCACGCTTCCTGAAGCAATCATCTGATTACAGTATGAAACCGTAACGTCTGCCACTTCTGCAGAGTGCCCACGATAGGTATAGCGGAGTAGTCCGCGATGTACGTCCCAGACCTTTATCAGGTTATCATCCGCACCCTATAATATAATCATATTTCCAATATTTGATTTCATGCTACGCCTCTTTAGTTGTGGATATTGCTAAATACCGAGTTAATCGATAAAAACACCGTTGCTACTTTCAAGACCAGCGAACTTCGGCAAATGCGGGCTCTATCCTCATCATTTTTGGAAAATTGATAAAGATTTGGTGAGCGACAATCACCAGCTATTATAGTGCAAGATACCCAATGTCATTGAAATAAGCTTTGGCGAGGATCAAAAAATGTAATGATGTCAAAAAAGAAAATTGTGCAGAGAGATGCCAACCATTTAGAAGTGTGAACATGGACTAGAGCTGCATCACGTCGAAACGAGTTGAACGTCTTCTTTCATTTGAAAGTGTAACATCAGACCTACCGTTATAATATAACTGCCTGTTCGATCAAATGTAACACAGTAAACCATGGACAGATGCCCCAAAATACGATAATGACGTTCCATCTGATCTATGGTTCCAACTCCAGGCAGACGAGCCCTACTTACTCGAGCACCAAATTCTCGACAGGCGACTAATCTTGAAAAAATTTGTATTCAATTTCTCCTGATTTAATTATATGGAACCGAAAAAAATCAATTTCGACTATAAAATAACTTGCCTAACATTATTTACAATATGCTGAGGAACAGGCATCTGTGCTAACACACGTGAGGAAAAATCTTTTTTTTCAGCGCTTTCTAGAAATATATAAGTGCGCAACGGATGACATCAAACTGGAATATATTTCCGATTACCAGTAGTTCTCGTGAGACAATTTCTCTTATTAGAGATTAAACGTAAAGGAAGACCACGAATGGATGGAGGTACGCTTGCGTCAGCTAACACAGCAAGTCTTTCAATCATGTCCAATAAAGATGGATCAGTCGGGGCCATTTCCGATACCTGAACCCAACGTGATGGTATTAAGAAGTACAGATTCTATAGACGGGAGCGAAGCAAGACAAGACAACATTGGGCGATCAAAAGTGAAAACTAGTTCTTGATTTGTAGCCTTCACACAATGTATCTCAAATGAGGGGTCCCAAAAATTACTACAGAAGGCTTTCTCTTTGATCTCAAGCCTTAACTAGGTAACGATAATTCTTTCTGAA